GCCAGGTCAGTTGGCTATTCATGTAGCAACAGCAAACATACTAATAGAATCAGAGGAAATCTTGCAAATTTTATGAGCCAAGTCTGTTTTCCATATAAGAAAAATTAAATTGAAAATCAAAGGTAATTTATAGTCTTTGAGGTTTCTCTTGCTTATTAATTCTTAGAATCAGATTTGTCAGTCTATTCTAAAAGGCTGAAAGACGAGATCCTTCGACTGAGCGCATCCTTTGAGCGATCCTAAAGCCATGGGTGGCCTTTATGCAGTGCTAGCGACACAAAATCAAGTTTTTTCGTAATTATACGATTTCAAATCATATCAATTAGGAAATATGCATAAATTCAACGGGTTCTGTCTAATTTGGATTAGTTATGTCTTCATCTTCAAGCCTTCCCGTGTCATATTACTAAGCATATCTGTCTAAGAAGAATGTTCCTTGAGAGATGCTATATCCGTTTAGAATAATTGATTAAACCGTAGAGTTTAACTTGTTTTATAAAAACCCTCTTTCAATTGGATTGCGAAACCTGCATTGGGTTGTATACCAAAACGCTGTGTTTTTTTTCCGGACAATCATTTGCAGTAGAGGTAGCCTTAAAAAAGCATGTGACCTCAAACAGAAAAAATGTCAGTTTTATGAATTTTCGTCGCTTTTTATCCCTTTTAAAAACTTTTGGTTAGCTAACTCAGTTTTCCTTCGGAAAGCCTTGATAAGGCCACGATGACCCATTTCATATTGGCTGTTGACCTTTTTAGTTGGTATAGTATGATAAGACCCACGGAAAAGCTGTAGCAATGTTCACTCAGGGGAAAGGAGGAAAAGGCTTAGAGGAGAGGGAAGGTGAATCAAGATTTTGGAACTTTTTAAAGAAAACAATATATAAACATTGGGATAGCAAGGAGCGTTCGAGTGTTTACAAGCTCTGGAAATGAACAATGAGTGGGGGACAGAATTCGTGAATTTTTCAAGGACGTGGAAAGGGTTAGCACGGGAAAAGTATCTGCTATTTTGGATGTGTCTTAGGGCCCCAAGGGTTGATTTAAGCTCTGGTGTCCTGGGAGCTATGTTAATGGGGATGTCTGGAATGAAAAATATGAATGTGTCGGCTGCTATACATCGATAAGAAGTAGGGTGAAGGTACTGTATAAGATTGGAGCTTTTGATAAGGCGAATAGCGAATAGCTTATCACTTGATTTTGTCGTGAAGACGCTAAAAAGTAACGGAAAAGATGAGAGCAAAAATCCAGAAAAAGACAATTTATAAATAGTGAAGGAGAAAAAATGTGAAGGCTAGAAAACGCACACACTCTGGAGGGGAGCAGAACAAAGTTTTTTGAGACAAGCTTTATCAATAAACAAATGGCAAGACTTCCAAATAAGGTTGAAAAATATACTATACAAAGACCAAGTTGATACAGCAGGAATGTTGGGGTTATATTTACGTGAAATGACAACTTGGCTTCACTTTTATCAAACTTAGCAGCATTGCCTTAATCTCAGTTCTCAATTATTGCCAGACAATTAGTGAGAAGTGAGGCTGTGGTATTTTGTTGAATAAGTGCATTTATAGAAGAATCGTGTCGCGAAGATAAGTGACATCAGTCAAATAATAAATACTTCCAGAAGTGGAAGAAAGTGAAAGAGGATGAATAAAATAGGAGATATGACAGAGCCCTGTGGAGCATCGGCATTAAAGAATTCTAACGACTATGGTGCTATTAACTATACACCAATGGACCTGCAATCCCATTTATGACGGTTTGGTGCGAAGAAAACAAAGGAGGTTTAGAAAGATGATCTTAACATCCAATCAGTCAAAAGCTTTGAAGATGTCAAGAGAGGTCACTCTGTTCTCACCAAGGTATTCTAGACCAGAGGACCAAATATGAACAGCATAAGCAAGAAGATAACCAGGAGACCTTGCTTGATGGAAACCATAGTCGTGATTGGAAAGGCGTTTCAAAGGATGTAAGGAGTAGTTTGGTGATGACAGTTTCCATTTTTTTGCGAGATGGGGAAGTGATGATGATTGGACGATGCAGCAGCGCTAAAATATTTGCATATGATTGCAGAGTACGGTGGTGGAAAGGGGAGCTGCGGGGGCCCAACTCGCTGTTTTACCGTGGTTCTTCAAGCTCCTCTACTAATTTTTTCGAAAGTTAATGGAGGCGAATGCTCAGACCAAGGGGTGCTGGAAACAGAGAGCTGGAAACAACGTATGCAGACACTGACCTCTCACAATCTGCAGAATCGGGCTTGCGAAACAACAATCCTGGCCAAAACATTTTCAGGGCATCATAATCGTGCATTGGGGTGCACCATGCTCGCAAGACTGCTTTCCAGTTTCTTTTTTATCCATGCTGCTCTGCTTGACATTTTCGTTTTGGTCTGCTGGGACACAAAGGTTACATTTGGTGCAACTGCATCATGGACCTCACGAACACCATCCTTTTCTGAAAGGAATCTCACAATGTTAGATGAACTGCCCTTGACATTATCATTAGGTGCCAGTCTGTTACTCACGAAATTCTCCAATGCAAGCAAACTTTCGAACCTAATTTATTGAAATTTCTTGTTTCAGAGACAAACTAATTCATCCGACTTTGGCGACTTTCTCTTAAAAGAGCACTTTCTCGAAGAAAGAACCTTTCTTTGGCCTTCATGCAGCTTTCCAAGGTTTTTAATGAACTGTCTAGCTTCTGGACTCACTATGGTGATGTCATCTGCTTGTAGTGCTTTGTGGAATATCTTCAGCAGAAACACAACACCAAGAAAGCAGATGAGGGCCTAGTTATCGTTGTTTGTTATGAGGTTTTCAAATGCTTCCTAAGCAGTCATCTGTTTGATATACCAGGAAAGATATTCTCACCAAGAAATAGAGTACATCGATGAACATGCAGTGTTAATTTCTACTGGTTACGTCAAGAAAAGTCTGTTTTTAGAAATCTTGAATTTTGACCACATATCCTAAAAGAACACTATAAATTGCTTCTAAATTTGCAAATTCATTTAAGTGTGTCAAAAACATGGTGATATGTGGCCAATGAAAGGTTTGATGTTTGCTAAAGGATTTCTGTTATCTTGGCTCTTCTTCAGAAAGTTACCAATGTTATGATGTGATTAATGAAAAATTCTATTGTGCATTGTCAATAAACCTCAACATGCACTGATCATCAACCAAATCAAGTGATTGCTTATGCATTCTAAATAATGTTATTCTTTGGTGGTGCGAGCTGGTTCAGGGAAAAGAAAGCTGATCATAGGATATATTGCAGAAGATGGAGCTTGCTATTGACAATCTATATACAACGTATATAGGTCTAAAATAATCTTGTTTTTGAGAAACAATATAGATCATTATAACGATCAGAGAAGTATTCAAAGGAAAGTATCTGCATTATTGCAGAGAAAAATTGCTCTTGGGTTTGTAATATGCAATAAGAGTTACACCCAGCCCATGAAAGTGTAAGGCAACAGCAATGTACATTAACCAACTATCTTTGATGTGCATTAACTGAACGGACGAAGAAATGATAGTTCTCTGGTTTTAAAATCTTCTATCAAAGAGAACGTTACAAAAAGTTGCATCATTTCTACTTACTGTAATATGCCTTCTCTTTTTCAGTTTTTTAACACTTGAAAACAATCTTTATCTACCTTTCAATATTTTTGATTTTTGAACGAACAAATAGGATAATTTTGTATCATAAGGGAGTGTTGAAACGTTAGAATTTTGTATTTATGAGGAAAATCTGATACAGTCTAACAGGAATAAAATATTATTTTTAGCTAAAAATATACTGGAAAACTCTTTGGCCTGCATCCAAACGTTCTTTAGCCTGTATCCTCGGCCTGCATGCGAAAATGAACGTAGAAACACTGTTGCAGTGCAAATATCTAAGCTTGATTCTCGTTCCTTACACGTTTGATGGACATGGAAAAGAGGTCTCTGATCATTCACCTACCTTCCACATCTTGGCAAAACATTAAATTCTTGGTAACCAACGAAAGTGTCTTGACTATAGTCATGGTTTTTCTTACAGTGAAACAATTTTAATATAATTTGATAATGAAACAAGTAATTTTGTGATTATTGCCCAACTTAGGTTGTATTGAATTAAAAGTACAATTTTCTATGCAGTCCATCTAGATGTGATTGAAGATAAACGGTTGAAAAATACACAGTGTAAAAGAGCGTTGAGTGTCATGCTGTGATCATGAAATAAGATTGAGTTCATAAAATTACTCTGTTAGATGTGTTCCATTCATATATTGAATGTACCAATGTACATCGCGTTAAGTGGCTTATAAAGAAATTATTGGAAGAGAAATTGCCTTTGTTGCGGCGTTCTGCGCAACCGCAACGCGGAAGAGGCTACAAAAAGGGTTATCGCAACAGGATCTGAGGAATATGATTAAAGTGAAGGGGGCTTTGTTGTTCCTAATACGCTATCTTGGACAAATCATCTAAAAGGAGAGAAAAAATCTTTGCATTGCGTAATAGCAAAGCCAAACTATGTTATAAAATATAATTGTTTGACAGTTAAATACATTTCTTATTTGATTGATTTTGAATCACCTTGGATAGAGAAGGTAGCGATGAACCAGCAAGACCTGATGGAATGGATTAACGGAAGCGCGGTTCTGATCCGCGGCAAAATTGATATTGATTAAGAAGAAGCTACAAGGCAGAGAGAAGGGCCGATTTGTTCACATACTTCAATGTCTATGGTTTTGAAAAAAGCAAACATTTAGTAAACTAAAGTTTTTCGTCTGACACTCTTCAGAGTTTAAAACGTCAGAACATAGATCGAAAACTCTACGCTAAGAAATATATATACCCAGTTGTGGATCGAAATAGGCCAATCAGAATATATATTTCTTAGCGTAGAGTTTTCGATCTATGTTCTGACGTTTTAAACTCTGAAGAGTGTCAGACGAAAAGCTTTAGTTTACTAAATGTTTGCTTTTTTCAAAGCCATTTACAAGTTTTGTACCACCTAAAGATTGTATGCATACTTCAATGTCTACTTGCATTCAAAGTTCCAAAAGTGCAGTCAGTGGCAAAATGTTCCTCTATTAAGTTCTTTTCTGAATTGAACCAAGGTTTTGTTTTTAGTATCCTCTTTTCATTTATTGCTACATAAAACTTGATAAAAAAACTTGGTTTCGTTTGGTCTACTCTGTCATAACTTAATTTTGCTTTCTCCATAACGTTTTTTTTACAGAAGTGTACTTCCACGTAAGAATTATATGGCAAACTATCCGCAATCGTTTTTAGCACTGGCCTAGTAGAAAGACAGCATAATTTCTATAGATACAAAATGATGAAATAACCAAAACTATCGTATAATTGTAGCTTAGACGCGGTAAAAGAGCTTTACCAGCTAATTTTACAAAAATTTGAACAGTATATGCAATTTGGCTGATTTGGTGATACTTATGCCCATAGCTTTTCAGTGGTAATTGCTTCATGACTTCATTAAACTCTATATTCTATGCAGAGTAGCATAGGACAATAACACTTTTAGGCACCACCAAACCTTGTTATCAGCGCTGTTTCCTTAAGGACTAGTTAGTGATAAAGCCTGCAAATGAAGCAACATTATCAAAGGGTGACATGTACTGTCAACAAATTAAGGCTGTAGAGCTTGGGGGCTCAGGGGTGCTGAACAGTGAGCCCCTTTGATGTTCTCTACTTTTACTGTTGATCTTGAGACATTTCCCGCGAGGCCCCCTTGCTCTTTTCATAACAACACACTTGTCAATGATAACTCAAACATTATCTGATTAAAAAGAATGGACGGACGGACGAGTAGAGAAACACCCCTTGATCCACATGGATGGACGAATAGAGGAGCACTCATTGATCCACAAGAAGCACCGTTTCATCTCTCATTTATGGTTGTTCATCATCCATTCTTTAACACTGTCAACAATCCGAATAAGAAAATTAACTCAAGAATTTGACATTATAAAAGACTCAATCAGAATGTTGAAATATTGTTACGAATGCCTTTTGCAAATAACAAAGTATCTACAACAAAAGAAAGAGATAAGCGAAGGATTCGAAAAAATATTCAATGAGTATTGGAAAGCAACATTAATATTTTGAAGATAATCAAAACAAAAGCAAAGAAATAAAGAATATCCTTTCACAACAGTTTGATAATTAAAAAAGAAACTTAACACTTTGGTTTATTAGTTTCCCTGACCAATTTTGCTAAAAATATTCAACCAGAGTCATGAAGTCCTAACTTATATAGCCTAACATAAAGAAGAGAAAACTAAAAGAAACAACTCAAGCTTATGAATTGCAAGACATGGGATCAAATTAAAAGTTTTAACGCATACAATTACAAGAAGCAAATCAAGCAAACATAGTTAATTGTGGTGAATATAGTGCGATAGATCAAAGTTTGCAAGCCAATAGAGTTTTGGAATTAGATGAATTCAGCATATCCATACAATTCAAATGCAGAACTAACTGCATCAAAAACACGCATTTCTTTGAAATGGATTTTGCATTCGATGTTATCAGTCAATCGTAGCAACAGAAATGCTATTAGCAATTGTTGCCTCGCTTTAATAGCCGATGGCATGGCCTGCTTGGAAACTGTTATTCAGAAATTTACTCAGATTAATTAATTAAGCATCTAAAAAGTGCCATGGATTCTTGTGTCTAGGGAGAACAAGTCGGAGTAATGTTATTTAAAGAACAGACACACAGACACAATTGAAGAGAAACACGATCATATCATCTCTTGTCCTTGCGTTCGGCGAAAATGCTGACTCCAACACCATGACAATTACTGAAAGTTTTTTCCATTTCAAAGGCGCCTGTCTAATCAGTCATTCGGGAAATGTTCACTTTAGAAGCATATCTTTGGCGGACATCTGACGGGTCGAAGAGACTCAATAGTTAGCTATAAACAGAGACAGACAATCTAAGCTTGGAAAAAGAGGAAATTTAAAAAACCTGATATATTGTACATAAAGAGCTAAAAATGCTCGTCCTTATGGCACCATTCGTACATCAAGTTCTTTAAATTGGCTGCATGCTGCAGAGCCACATTGCCGTCATTCAAATATAAATGCCGTCATTCAAATATAAAAGCAAGAAGAGGCAGCGGCACTAGCACTTTATTGCCTCTAAATTTGTACTTGAACAAATAAAAATCTAGTGTTCTGCTCCTCTTAGAGCACATTACTGGAGTTGCCATTATGGTAAAGCTGTGACAACATTGATACTGTCGCTTAGCTTCTCGTGATGTTATACCAACGGTTCTGTTTCAGCTTTTAATTTCTTTGAAGCTAGCAAAATAGCAATGAAAATTAGTCTTCCAAATAAGTATTTTTGGTGAAAGATATTCAACAAATTGAGAAATTTAGTATTTGAAATACTGTTCCTCAGAATATGAATTCAGACATAGTTTCAGTTTCAAATAAACAGAAAATTCTAAGATACCTAAAATAATTTCACCATTTCCATCAAGTTCTTATTTATTTTGCAGCTTTCAAATACATTATACAAAAGCAAAAATATTGAAAAAGAGCCTTAAATTACAAAGTAATAATCCTTATTCATACTTTCTTTTCTGATATATTAGTTTTTCCTATGAACCAAATTGCATTTAAATGCTTTTTACTATTTTTGAGACTTAAAAGCATATGGAATCTAGTAAAATTTCACAAAATAATCGTGCAACATAATAGTTATTTATATTAGTTTTCTTTTACTAATTTATATTTCTTATTAAAACAAATTTTTTTTGGTCAGGAGACAGAATAGAGAACAATATTTCAGGGAAACACGAGCTTCGAACTCGATTCTTGCAGCACTCAACAGGAATTCTCCTCCAAACTCTACAATCTCTCTACAACAACTAATTACGTCTCATGGAGGGCGACTTATATTTCTTTATAAAACTAAGTTTTTCTCTTTTTGGTCAGGAGACAGAATAGAGAACAATGTTTCAGGAAAACACGAGCTTCAAGCACGATTCTTGCAGCACTCAACAGGAATTCTCCTCCAAACTCTACAATCTCTCTACAGCCACTAATTACGTCTCATGGAGGGCGACTTGCTTTCACTTAACCTAGCAACTCTGGAAATGAAACTGCTGATACCAGAGGAAAAACGCAGGTGCAGCGATGCGACAGATGACATAAACTAAATGTCAAATGAAGCATACATATTGCTCTTACATTTGGAATCACTGACATAATGGCAAATTCTATGACTATAGAAACATAGGGACTTTGAATATCTTGGGAATGTAGCTTAACAAGCAGATTGAGAAACTTTGATAGTTATTACAAAAACATTTTAACAAGTGACTAAGCAGTTTCTGCATCCAAGAAAAGATGATGAGCTACTTAATCGAATTTCCGTCTTTTCGTGCTAGCTTAAAGATGGATATCTGTTTGCAATACCCGAGATATTTTTATTGCTGCCTTGCATAAAACGGAACTTTAAGCAAAAAATGGAATATGGCATAGTTATGTACGTTCATCTAACATTCATTTAAAGGTATCTTTAGAGGTTTAAGTAATGAAGGGATAAGGTAGAACCCCTCCTTCCCCTCTATCTGACTCTCTGAAAGATAACAAGTTGAAGAACTTGAAGCAAAATCTAAAAGAAGGCAAGTTTACTTTGGTTATTAATCAAAGACACTTTTGATAGACTGTTCCAACAGGTTTGAAATGCCCCTTGAACCAGTAGAGTACGTTTTCCATCTGTTGAACATTCATTGCAAATAATAATAATGATTCGATGGCAACGAATAACACAATACAGAATAACAGAAGAAAATAAACCTTAGCGAATAAAAGAGATCAAAATAAACTGAATTAGAATATTATAAGATGAATTCTACCATATACTCATTAAAGTGAACAATGCTTGCATCATCAGAAGCATTGCAATTAACTCAACTGTAACAATGTTGTTGAGTTTTTTGTTGATTATGATTAAAAGTATTTCTCAATAAGTTTCAGAAATTTGTGAGGGTATTCTGAAAGTCAAGTTTTATTGATTTTGCATTATGAAGAGCAACGTATCAATATGAAACACTTAAAAGATTTGGGCAAAGCTTCACGTAGGCTGGCACTTTGAGTAACAAAACCAAAGGCCTCGGGCACCTTGAAGAGCTGTTTGTTTCCCTGTGTTATTGTCCACCTATCTAAACAGTAGTTCCTGCACGTAGCCTGTTTTGGTTAGGGTGAAAACCTACAGCCGCCATTCACCGATTGCTAACTGCATTGCTTAAACTGGCTATAATGTTACATGTATTTCCAACTGGAAACATTCCCTACGCAAATTAAGCAGATCAAGTGCTAGCTCGTCAATAACAAAACAGTAAATTTACATTCAAATTTCGTCATCTCATTTGGTGTAAAGGCTGTTTCAGTTTCTTCCGTCTAAGCGACGCGACGCACTTAAAGAACATCTCTTTTGAAAAAATGCCGCATTGCTTTTGGACACGTTGCGGTATACTAGCCTCGTTTATCTTGCGCTTTGCGATACGGCCTAACCAAAATTGCAGATTTTCGCTCTTTGAGTTAATCACATGCAGCTTCTAGACTTAGAGAAGGCGCTTTAGTCTGTTGTTTTTTCGTTTGTCGGAAACTTGCAAATCAAAGAAAATGATATCAAAGACAAATTAAACAACCGTTTCTCTTCAAAAAAGGAGCAGAAGCTGTACTTTCAAGTAATGAATATTCAAGCGAGGGGCGCCCAGTTTTCATTTACGTCGCTCTAAGATTTTCGCTGTGGATATCTAAGAGGCAACGCCGTGACCCGAAGTGAGCGCGAGCCATAACCTCAAACACGTCGGCGCTCTCTTTATGTACACAATCTCAAACACACATGGACATACTGATCATAGTAACCGCCAATACAATCAAAATTATCGTAAGAAAAGCCAGCTGACGATGTAGTTCTAGACCCGAAGTTTATTAAAACTGAAGCGATTACGAACTTATCGCTAGGATGCTCGTTTGGTCTCATAAACGACAATAAAACCTGCTTATAATAGCTTATCTAAAATCTTTACCATGTCAGTAGCGAAATTAAATTGCTTGAAAATTAGCAATGACCAAATAGCACGGGCATGTCTTCCCTGTCATTACCATTTCTCAACATTGCACAGACAAAACATTGCTATGCCTTCATAGCGGCAGTAAGAGAAGAGCAAAGTGTAGCACACCTGCAACACGAACATTCAAATCCTTGGGACTCTTCAGTTCACATTTTACGAGAAATTTCGAAATGAATATCTGTTTTCATTTTCACATTGCTTGTAAAATTTGCAAGATATAATTCCTGCAGGCATAATTTTTCTTTGACTCTTTAATGGCAATCGCAATCCAACATATTAAACAATAATATTTATTTCACACCTCGTAATTCTCATAATTATCAACCCGTGCTTATTTCTATACAATGACTGTACATTTACAATTCCTTGTGCTTGTTTGCTGTTAAAAACGCGTCTTTTAGAAATAGTTTATTTTTCACACTTAATGAAACCTGTCTGCCAAGCATAATACTTTGATTGAGATACACAAAGTCGCAATTTACCAGATTTATTTGATTAACACCACTAATGTGTGAAACAGAAACAGTGATAGCGAAGAAAATCTGGAAAGCCATTTGTCAACCTATCATTATTTTGTCTTTAGGTGAATGACAAATTGTTTAACCTAGTAGCAAATCATACAGGCTAACTTTTAAATTTCGGTAACAAATGACAATTGTTAAATATTTCGAACTGATCTGCACCTAATACAAAAACTCCAGCTTTATTCTTCATCTTCAAATACAAAAAGCGCTCTATTTTGAATTGTTCTACATATATTAACATAAATTAGAATTCTTTGGCAATTACGCTGAAGCAGTGAATTTTCAACGATGTTTTGATAGTGCCTGATATTTAAAAGAAATATCCCCTTACATTTCATTTTCAATAGGAAAACTTTGTGTCATTGTAACTAAGACCTACCAATTGTTGGCTACGATATCCCACCTCTGTCACCAACAGATTGATGGTTAGTACATACTCTTAAAGAAATGTCTAGCTATTGTACGCTATAGAAATCAAGGTCTCAACACTTATGACGACACAGATAACAATCGTAAAATCTCAAAGACAAAATGCATTAACTGAACATACAACATTTCATGTATTTCATGAAGGGCTTGGCAAACGTTAAGCAAAAGTTTTTCTAAAAAAGAAAGACTCCGAGAACGACACTTGGTGTTTGTTAAATGAGAAACGCGTTTGTTTCAAATCGAATGATTATGACTAGTTGATTATTTTGAATTGCGTTTATTTTTGTGACATTTAGCTAGCTTCTAAATCGGGATAGTAAGCACAATTGAGGTTAGCGTGGAGCTGTGCATTGAACTTCCCGTTATGGTGTTCAGTCGCCATAACTTCTCTTCAGACCAGGTCTAATTTCATTGATTATCCAGTTCGTTAAAGCTTTGATAGCTAAACTGCAATACGAAAAATCCACTATGTAATTTTGTTAATTACTGTGCATGACCTAATTAGACACGGGTTGAGATGTCGGCGGTCGTATGCGATAGCAAAAGTAAGAAGCTGTTCGCTATTGAAATGGAATTAAGCAAGATCTTACTCACCAGACTGCTATGAGAAATACCGACCGATTATGCGCGTCCTGTTCACTTCTTCTCTTGACCCGATCATCCATTCTCTATAACCACAATAGTTCTATTAGGATTACGAATTTCTTTTTGCCATCACTTTTCCGCCTGCTATTTTTCACCAGTGTAAGGTTTACTTCAAATGGAAAAAGAACAATTCTTGAAAAAATTTCCCTAAACAAGCCTTAATTAATTTGACATCGCGGAACGACCTGAACATAGCAATTTCGCCGAGCTTCTGCTATCAAGCCGTTCTTAATTGGAGATGCGAAGAAAGAATAGCATAAAGAATAAATAAATTAGCATAAAAACCAACAATGAGAAATAATCAAGGTTAATCAATTGAATTATAACATTAAGTCTTGCTCGATTAAAGTAACTTAAAGAGTCGACATTGACACGGACAATTTGCATATAATAAACTTCTTTGAAACGCCATTTGCTTTTGATGCTTGCGAAAATGAATGATGAATGATCTTTTAAATAAAAATTGTAAATAGCACTAAACATCGCATTTATGCTCTATTCCTATGCTTGTAACTATCAAATAATATCTTTATTGGTTCGATAAATAACTTAAAAGATTGCAATAAGGGTTCTTCCATTTTAAATACATAATTCAATACATTATATTTTTATTTAGTATCTTTAAAAGGAAAATCTCACACAGCATAAGAAAATCTTGAAGGAAGTCACAGTTTATTTGTTCAAGTTGTCCCCGTCCCGAATAAATACCCAAAAAAGGAACGCTTCGTGAATAAAGCTAAATAAAAACTTGGTAATTTTCCGCTAAAAAACCGATATCAAATTCAGTTGCATAATTGAGTAGGTAAAAGTGATGAACTGGCAAGCTTCACAAGGGCAATGTACAAGAAAAGGGTAGAGACATCGGGGACAGTATATCTAAGTAGAGGCCCTTTAAACTTAAGGGGAGACTTTTCGTCTCGTTGATTTTACGAACAAACCAAAATCCTTGTGCAACATAAACTATAAATATCACTGGTATAAGACAATCACACATAAAAGCATAACCGATAGTAAAATAACAGTTAAAGACTTCGAATCCCAGAGTAAACATTCCTTTCGAAAGAAGTTAATAGAAACGGTTTAACATAGTAATCCAGCAGCATTTTTTTCGAGTTCCCCAAAATCATACTGTTCTGGCATGGGCGTTACGTCATTGAGTGCAGTCATAGCTTCCAAAAATTTAAAATAATAGGGAAATTGACAAGAACGCAAGAGAACGAAATCGCCAACACAGTATCAGAATAGCAAGGGGGAGAGGGTGGTAGAGACTGTGTAGAGACAGGTGGAAATTTTACCTATTTTCTAATCTTCAAAAATGCTAGAAAAGAGAAAAACAGTCTAGAAAACAAACTAAAAGCTTTGAAAAATTTAAAATGGATGATTTTTGCATAATTATATAGCATGAATGGGTCATCGATAAACAAAAGAGGCATTTGCATTGATGTTGCTACGGTTACATTATCAAAGAAACAATGAATCTTTAAATCGTGTGGGAACTGTAATTTTGTACCTATCAAACATTTAGAGGTCCTTTAGCAGTTGAGAAAGTTCAATTTTCACCATAAAGAGTACATATAATATACAGAATAACAACAGGACTGAAGAAGGAAGTGTCGTACCCAAAGTAATTTTTAAATTCATAAAAAATCTATGTGAAATCAAATGCTGATGACAAAGACCAAATGAGTGAATAACTTTTAGTGACACACAAAGAAACTCGACCAGTGAGGTGCAGTTAGCAATCCTCTCCAAGAAACCATATTGAGAGAATTTTCCCCGTCCTTGAAAGACTGTTTTATTCGACTGATTTGAGACTGTCGGGTAATCCAAATTCAACAGTACTCGCATACAGAAATTCAGAAAATCCTCAAAATGCCCCCTTCCCCTAGTATGAGCTCTACCCTTTGGATAAGCCCCTTCTCTAAAAGTAAAAATTTCTAATAAGCCTAGTATGTCAGTTGTGCGCATGATCAATTACACATTTAGCGGCGAAGAAAAGAGCTAGATTAAACGAGACATCGACGAAGAGGCCTCCGAAGACAGTGAATATGCAGCCAACTTTGTTTAATTCCAACTCGTGTATTACTTGAAGTTTCACTAATTTGAACAAAATTCTCAGAATTAGCTGTAACAATGTTTTTGGCTAAAATATATTTTTGTGTTTTGATTCTTATTTTGGTTGATATTTAAAAAAGTGATATTAAGTTAGGAAGAGTATAAGTAAAATTGAAAAAGAAATGAATTTGAAAATTGTGAGGAAGCCAAAAAATGTGCTATGGCCACTTGGTTGGAGAAGAATTTTGCAAGGGCTAATGTGAGGATTTACGGCAATATGAATCATCACTATGATTTATCTTTTTGTCATTGATTTCAACTTAGTTTTAATACAATTGGAAAAAACATTGATGGAAAGCAAGATCTAAGAAACATTGAGAGAAAGTATCTAAGATACAACTGAATTCTATAAGTTGAACGGAACAGTTAGTTCCCAAGGCAAATTATCAACAGTCTGCAATCAATTGTAAATGGTTTAATATCTATCTTCTCAATATTAGCACATAAATAATATTCATATTTACACCATACAAGGTATTTACAGACGAAAACACTATCACAATAATGTTAATACAATTACCAATGAAAATTATTAAATTAATGTACCTATTCCATACCACGACTAGTACAAAAAGATTGACCTAACAAGCCAGTGCTGGAAAACGGTCAACAGAAATTGCCCCATCGACGCAAAGTTCGATGGATTCTATTACGATAATTAACTTACTCTAAAATATTAAAACCCTAATATGGAATTTTATATACAACACAACATCACGTGTACCAGTCAGTTAGTTCATTTCGCCATCACCACTGACAGTTGGCAGCACAATGACTGGCTCAACATCAGTTAAAAGAATTTTACTAGTGTCGTTCTTATGTCGTTTCTGGTGCTTTCTAAGCGAGCTAGGGTCTGTATACGACTTATCGCAACCTTCGAATTTACAACGATAAGGTTTCTTTTCTAAATGTGTTCTGGTGTGCTTAAATCGATCACTTGAATTTGCATAACTTTTATTACAGCCCTCGTAAGGACAAGTATAAGGTCGCTCACCAGTATGTGATCTGGTGTGGATCTTCAGATTATCAAGTCTTGCAAAGCTCTTGTGGCAACCCTCAACCATACAGACATGGGGCTTTTCACCCGTGTGACTTCTTAGGTGAGTTAGCATTTTATACCTGAAACAAATAAATTCACGTTAAAGGAAAACCTTGACACATGTCAAAGATACAAAAATTGTCTTTTTATGTTAAGGTTTTTGTAATTTTTCTTCTCCGGGAAGTTGTAAGTAACCTATTTCTTTGCGATGATAGCAATTTCACCATAGGTAATTTCATTTTCAGGAAATCACCCACGGCCATGGTAAGCAAAGATTGCCATTTTCCCATTCTTTTCTCATTTGAACCTGGGCTCAAGAAGCACCAAGCTTAATCACATATTACCTTTACAATACCGAAGCATAGTTTGAAAAATGACCAAAGAAGGGCAGGATGAATAGTCTAGAGTTATTTGTGCTTATACATAAAATTATCTTTAGTCAATTGTGCTTTTCTAGAATATTCACTGTTCAAAGTTGACTTCCATATCCAAAACGTGTGATCACAATTTTATATTTTAGTCATATTCATATTTGAGTTCATGCAAGTAAAAGCTAGATGAATATTAAGCTATGAAAGAGATGGAAAGAGAATGCAGGTTCCTTACAAACTGCGGTCAACGAGGAAAAGACAGTCAAACTGCTGAGTTTTATAGAATATACGATGGCGCACAATAAATTGCATGATTTCTTGCCAATGACGAGTTCACCTTCCAAAAACACTACATGGCCTAATGGTATTTAATCATAGATTGAAGTTAATGCTTTTTCCCTTTTGGTCTTAGAAATACAGCGTATCATAAGTATTTGATTAATTCGAGGGCTTCCTGACTTCAACACGCCCGCCTACCTTGCGTCAAATATCTTGCCGTCCCTAGCACAGCCTCTCCATAAACATTTGTATTCTTGTGGTCCAATAGGCTTTGCATGTTGAGTTGTGACATGAGCGACTAGATCCTCTTTTGATAAGAAGTGAGTATTGCATCCATCCCAATAGCAACTGAAGAGTTGCGGTACAGTTAACACCTATGAGAAATATGAGAGCACATTCAACACCTATGAGGGAAACTTTTAAGCACTAAGTGAAATATTCTACCATATCGTAAATGACTAAATCTGGATTTCCAGATCAAATGATTGGGCAGACAATACTCTTAAGGCAAATCCACTATTTAATATCCTGGCAATAGATAAAATTCTCAATCTCTGTACCTCAGTGGTGTGGTCGTAAATTTTTTGGAAGTATACCGCAAAAGTAAAAAAACAGTGTTTCATTAGTTCTTTTCAGAAAAATATCATATTTTTGCTTTTTGTTGAAATTTCTATCCACTCAGTGATCTTCTTTGTCCATTATCTTGCTTCCACTTGGGTAAAATGGTTTGCCCATTGGCCACTCATATTTCTCTGAGTTTTCCACAATTTCAAAACTTTTGGTGCGTGCTTTTAAACCTAAGCCTTTGGTGCGGCAGTCTTACTCGTATTAAAACCAGATGTTATTGCAAGTAGTATGACTCCATCAATTACTCTTATCTTCAAATTTAAGCATTTATTCTTCCCCATGAATCCTGCAGCTCTTTTTTCAATTTTCCTATTTGTTTCGTTTATCATTGGCTGACTTAGGTAGCCATATTTATTTACTTCGTCTATGATCTGGCTCTCTTTTTGACCAATGAACAATATCAATATCGATACCGCCTATAATCACAAACACCTTCGAATTACGCATGTCCAGTTTACATGAGAAAATGTCCCAAATGCATTCGCGAACTCTTCATACGACTTCCATCACTTTCATACTCACTGGAACCTTGGTTGAGGCAAATAATGTAAGCCTAACCAATTTATTTGCTATATTGTCTAAACAAAAAATAGCTTGGTTTTTCGTACTATCTAGAATGGTACTGATGCAAGAAGCAAAACGCCATTGTGTGCTTGGGTAGGTAGCATAATGCCGCAACTCAAACATCTTAGGTAGAATCACGGCACAGCGTTATGCCGCATTACCCTACCATTACACCATTGCTTCGCCCTAAAACTGTTTAGGCCCATGAATGACTGTCACTGTCAAGCAGGGAAAATTTCTCATTTAACAGATTGCAGTTTAATTTAATCCATTTCTTCTGTAGTTCTGATGGGAAAATGCAGTTAATTTTGTAAATCATTGGTTCTACTTACAATGTCAAAAAATCCTAGAGAGATTCTTTCTAAATAAATCATCATAACAAATTTGATAAGGGGATATTGCCTTTGATGCCAGCATGGTTTCTGTCACTGTTGGAGAAACTTAAAGCAGCAAGTGGCAATTAATTTGAGCATCGGTTCAGTTTGGAAACGTGACCCAATAAAAAAAATCAAACAATACCAAGCTATTTTTTGACATTTTCATAACTTGCGAAATTTTGTTGCTACAATTTTGATGCTGCCAACTCAAGGGTGTTGCATAGTTCTTACTCAATTCTTAGAGAGTATTGCTACAAAAAAGAATGGCAGAAAACAGATCCGAAGGTCAGGAACAGCAATGCCATGGAGGGAGGCTCAAGGGCTCAGCCCCATAAGGTTAAAATTCATTGAGATTCATGGGGCTTCACCCCCTCAACAAGGGACCATATGTTTGGTTGGATAAATTCTGTGTTGGCATAGATTCACTGTGAATGAGCAATTTCTTATCAACCTATTAGAGTTGGTGAACACTTTCAATGAATTCTGGTATATTGAAAACAGACAAAAATTCTGGTATATTGCAAACAGAACAGCCCCCTCCTAACTAAGAACTATGCAACAACAAAATATCCTGGTCTTGGGTTTTGAGTCTCTTCTGTGGCCATGTCTTTCCTATAAGGAGTAGCATCCCTTCCATGACCTCCCCCTAGGGCGCACTGACTAGAAATTGCACTGCTTATATAAAAAAAATCTAAGAACAAATTAGGAACAATCCAGCCTCAAAATTGTGAAAAAATTTGAAACAGCCAGCCTGAACTTCAACTTACTTTAAAAAAAGGTGCAGAGAGAAGAAGGAGTTTTGGTTCAGAGAAACAACCATGAAACAATAAGCAAAGCTTCTTAGCACCTCTAAACTAACTTAAAAGCTATGTAGCAACAAATAAAATAATACCAGGGGCAGCTGGAAGGATTAGCAAAATATGTATTCAAAACTTCTGGGAGTATGCCCTTTGAGCCATAACTATTCATTTTTAGGGAACACTTTTACATGAGAGTTAAAGAATTTGTGCTATAAATATTGTTAATAGAACTTTCAAAAGCAAATGGCAAACTCTTGGGTTATGCCTTCTATATTTTGGCCTGCTTCAGACAACATAAAGAGCTTTTCAGCAATCCCAAAGAACTTTGCTAACCCATGATAAACACAATTGCATCCTATGACTCTAACCGTTTGTTTTCTGGATTTTTTATAGCTTGTCTTCATTGCTTGTTTTCTCACGATGTTTGGTTAATTGATAACTCTCCCTAAATTGAAAAGCAGTCGGTATGTAAGAAACTTCTTCTCAAAATGCATCTCTGCCCAGTCATTTTTCTGACGTCTAAAGGCCTGGTATAAAAAAAAGTAGCAAAAGCCGACAATAAAACTCAAGTTTATGGCAAAGTGACCAGCACCCCCAAGGTATTGAGATTTCATTTCAAATACCAGGGGAACCAACAGCCCTGTCCCCCCGCTAGCAATTTTGTTACCCAGATAAATAAATTTAAATAGAAGTTGATTTGTCATAAGTGTGTGCTACTCCCATTGTCTCCTTGACCTGCACATACTCAGGAAAAATTCCTACAAGGTGCCTTTTCTGTCTTCATATTTAATCAAAGGGAAAGTCGCCTATCACTTCCAAAACAGAGACCCTGTTCATGGTTCAGACAATTTCCCTGACAAATTCTTAGAGAAACCAGATCTGCAACACCCCAGTAATACAGTCTGTTGTGCACACAACCCATATTCTATTCAGAAATATATGTAAGATGTCTTTGAATAAGATGTAAGAGGTTTGCTAAAGGTATTCAGAATGAGAAAATAATACCCTCGCTAATGTGTTGGCTTGTTTCGAGGTGGTAATACAATAAACTCTGACGTCAGACCAACCCATGGAAACAAAGCGAAGGTATTCAAAATCTGAGTTGAATACCAGGACCACAGCACTGCAGCTTCAACAAAGAACAACAGACTCAGGATTTCAACAAATATTGCTGTCTGTTCCTATTGTCTAATTTGCAAAATGTCACTTGTTAATTCTGTTTCTTTATCAATTTCATTGATTGTCTTCACATTTATAAATCTGTCGTACTTTTTCATAGAAAAATAAAAGATACGTATGGATACCTTGAATACCCCTCTCCACCACCCCTGAATAAGACTAATTTTTCACTGCAGTGGTATGAATGGCTCTCATAGGAGAGTCAGAGCACATGCCTGGTAGACCATATATAGTGCAATCATGTGGCTCTTGCTGAATCCCCTGCTTTTCACAGGCTTTTTTTTGGTTATTCATAATTTAATGACAAGTTAATCATCATTCAAGCATGATACCTGTTGGGCAGATATAACAGTTGCAGGGACTTGACAAGTTGCATTCTGTAGGGAACATGTGCTATACAGCTCAACTTGAAAAAATGTTGGTTGATTCTCTGTCAATGATGCTGACAAGTTGCTGATTTCTGTAGGAACAGCAGAGAATTCATAATGTCCTAAGTCAATCTGTTTATCACCAGCTACTGCCATATTGTTCTAAAATTGAAAAGAAATATTCATCATTAAATCATATAAAAACTGAAACTTTTTGTGACTAAAGTCTCGACTTTTGTGGTATAAAAACAAAATTCTTTAATGCGAAAAATAAAAGTTATTTTTTCAGGTTATTTCCTAATGAAAGTGAAATGTAGCAAGGTGGTCTGTGGTCTAATGAGCCTGCAAGAATCCAATTCAGAATGTGATGACATAAAAAGTCTTTTCAAAGTTCTTCTAAAAAAGAGTTGTAAGGTTTATACCCTAAACCCTACAGTCTCAACAATGAGTAGGAATCCTGGCCCATTTTCCCTTAAAATGCTTAGTGAATTTCTAAATAAGCCTAATGAAATCAAGCAACAGAGTCACCAGTTCTTAATCTTAAGCCCAACATTGAATGATCAGTTTTTCTGCTGACTAACCACTATGTTTCATTGTTTGGATTTGGGGTTGAATAAGTAAGCAGAAAGGCTGTTGTGGTAAATATAAGAATATCAAATAACATATCTGAACAGTATCGCAAGGAAGTGTTACCAATCCATGGTAGTTTCAAATAAACTGGCCACTTTTTTGGACCAAACTTTTGAACAGCCGAAAAACTAAACGAAAAAGCCGCCATTGTGTAGACAGAAGGAGTTCGTTTTCTTACTTGGACTCCATTGGTAATTTTTCTTTAGGCTCCCGGCACTGATTGGTCAACTATACCGGTCTTGTGCTTGCGTTTTTCTGATTGGCCTATTTCTATCCACAACTGGGTATATATTTTCCATCATGTTCTTTCGAAACCTTATTCTGACGTTTTATGCTCTGAGGAGTGTCAGACGAAAAAGCTTTTAGTATGTCGTAAAATGTTTGCTTTTTTCAAAGCCATTTTCAAATTCTGTACCGCAAAAAAACTGTTCACAAAAGTAAGAATATTAAATAACATATCTAAACAGTTTTCTCAAATTGATAAAAATGGTACAGTTTTACATTTTACTTTTGAATGTAGTCTGAAATCAACAAGACATGCAATATGTTGCAATTGAATGAATATGTCAATGAAAGGCCTGGTTTTAGAGAGTAAAGCCTAGCGCACACTAGCGTTTATTTGTTGCCAGCAATGGAAATTTTGTCGCTGTCGAGTAATTGTTTTCCCCCGCACACTTGCAATCTTTTCTGCCTTGGCCAATGATTTTTGGTCTCCACCTCATAATGAGCCTCAATAAAAAAGGCCAAAAATTAACAAACAAATATTTTATAACCCATGCATGTGCCTGGACATCCTCAAAAATTATGGGTTGGGAAAATTTAGACAAAACCAATAAAAAATATTGCCAGCTTGGATTAACTAACCAGGCCACATTTAATGGGAAAAAAATTTGGCCCAAAATTGTAGATTTAGCTTGGCCTAAATTAAGCTACTTATTTTATTTTCTTCTCTTTTGTATGTACTGTAGAGAACCCAACATATGGGTATTATGCACAATTTTTTTGTTATCTGTTTAACTGTTAGTTGCTAGTAGATAATAAAACCATAGGAGATTTTTCGTTTTATGGGCAACCCATATTGCTAAAAGGATATATCAGTGGAAGTGCAAATTTGTTAGTGCAATGAGAGAGAAATATTTTTCGTGTTTATTCAAATAAGTTTATAAATAATTAAGAGCAGTAGTACCCGCCCGTGGCACCAAGAGTATCACAAAGTTTAGCCACGGCAGCAGCTTTTGTCGTCCTATTGTCATATTGACGAGAAGATATGGCATACAGGCAGGGTATCTTGTGCCACAAATTGACTGACAAATCCTCTTTATGCGCTGTCCAAGAGAACGAATATGTTTCTTTGACCTCCATCTTGTCAACTTTCTTAAAAATCAACAACACTTTCCATGTTCCTTGAAAACACTTTATGATTGGCTGATCAACAAGAATTTGTTTCTGCACCCCGCACACTTGCAATTTCAGTTTTTTGTCACTGGTGACAAAAACAAAAGTCTAGCATGCTAGATATTTGTTTCTGTTGCTGTCAACAAAAATCCTGTGATGTTTTTCTCTGCAGACTAGCAATTTTAGCTGCCAGCAACAAAAATCACCATCGCTGGTACAAAAATTGCTACTGTGCGCTAGGCTTAAGAAACAAATGTAGCCAAGTTAAAAATAATTCACAATAATCTCAACAAGCTTGTAGTTGAAAAACAATTTGTATAAGATGAATCCTAATCTTCACTTGGATTAAGTGCTATAATGGAGCTAAATGACAGAATCCTTTTGCAAAAAATTCACTGTGAATGACAAAATTTAGATATCAGTGCCTCACCAAGTTTGAAGAGAGACCAATGTTATTTGCATCTTGAGTAAGAACAACAATAGAATCACCAGTATTCAGAAACTGAAGATTTGACCCAACTGATGGATTTTGGTCATCCTCTGTACTCAAATCATCTGGTGCTCCCTCACCATTCAATGGTTCCCTTTCTTCAATGGATCCATTAGGCAACTCAATTTCTCCATCCTTACCCATGAACTTGACATCAAGGGCCACCTTGTTATTATCCTTTATCCCTTCATCAATATCAATAGGTGCTTCTGTATCCTTTTTTATGAAACAACTTCCATCTTCACAATCAATTTCAGTATCAGGTTTACCTTCATCAGGCTTTTCCTGAAATTTTGGGCCACCTTCACATTCAAAATCAAGACAATCTTTTGGTGAATTTTCGTTGTTACTGTCTACCGTACTGTTATGACAAGTCTGCATAGATTTACTTTCATCATTGTCTATTTGCAAGCAATTTTCGGTTCTTTTAATTAGAGCAAGGTCGCCACATAGAGCCACAGATGGGCTGAGACTAGAAGTTAGAGATGAACGATGTTGCGTTTCATCGCCGTTCATTTTCGAGCTTGTAATTGACACTGCTAGGTTACCTGAATTCGAAATCGCACAGTTATCTCCTGGATGATATCCTGCAACGTTTATCGACCCCAGAAGAAAATCCTTCCTTTTCTTAGTTGTCTTAGCAGACTGCATATTGTCGTTTAGGCCATTTGACGGCTCGACGTAGTCGATTGTTGTTGAGGCTCTCGGGCAGTTGTGCATACCTGTAGAATCATCGTGTACAGCCTGTTCGTACTCATGGTTTTCATAGTCCAAAATGATGTTACTATCAAAAACCTTATCTTGTGAAAGCATATTATAGCGCTTTTCCATTTTCAGGTAGATCTTTTAGGTCCCGCATTCTTCCATTTTGTCGGCACAAATCAAAGGCATGAACAGATGTTTCCAATACGAGATCGTCTCGTTTTGAAGTTTGAAGGAACTCGCGAAACTTTTCAGCATAAAATTGTCAGTTACAAAGTATATCTTGCATACATACATTGTCAATAATTATCACAGTGCCGTCCGAACGAAATTCATGTTTAGGGGGGGGGGGCTGCCCATTGTATTCCTTCTCATTCCGTACACTGTTACAAAGGAAACATACTACAGGTTGACAATTATTGGGGGGCTCTAGCCCCCCCAGCCCCCCGGTACCGACGAGCCTGTATTGTTATACTACACTTTAACTACAGTGCAACTAAGTATAAATAAAATAACTCACGGCCCTTTTCAACTCGACTTGTGGCAGAGAGGAACAGAGAGACAACGACTTCTTTCGTCAGCACTTTGAACAAACAGCAAGATGCTTCTCCCAAAAAGCCTCCCTCTTAAAACTACTAAAGTGTATTTATAGATACAAGCATTTTACAAGTATTAATAACAACCAATCAGCTGAAAACACGTAAGACCTAAAACCAAAAGAAGCATAGATGATTAACAGTGAAGTTATCCGGAAATAAAGTGTTTGCCAAATATCTATTTTATAGCCTACAATAGTCCGAGTTCAAAATGTCAAAGTTCAAAAACTAACATCGTTCGATTTGGTGTACAACAGTATCACACGTTTTATTAGGCTACAAATTGTGAGCAACCCAGATACTCTGATGAAGCCCTATATGCTGGGGCGAATTATTAGTGCTTGAAAATGGCTTTGAAAAAAACATACATTTTAGAAAATGCTGAACCTTTTCGTCTGTCACTCTTCAGAGTATAAAACGTCAGAACATAGATCAAAACAATACGCTAGGAAATGTGCCCAATTGTGGATCTAAATAGGCCAATCAGAAACGTGAGCACATGACTGTTGAAGTTGCCCAATTATTGGAGCTTGCCTATTAAAAATGTTACCAATGGAGTCCTAAGGTTAAAGCGAACTCCTTCTGTCTACAAATTTTTTTTAATGTTTATGTAGATAGATTCCAAAACTGCTAGATGGGACGACGATCGGGCTTTACCAATAATCCGAAACATGTCGCCATTATAGTTTTTTGCATAATCTGGGTTTTCCAGTAAATGCTGCCCGATTGCAGAATCGCCTTTTATAGTATGTTGTTATAATTATTTATGCAATTTAATTCAGAATCCCACGGACAGAACATCCAGCGTTTAAGCATACCCTACAAGTTTTAACCCAGATACTGTCCCCAGAGTTATTTGGTACAACGAATAGCGCAAGACTTAAATATAGGAGCGTAAGTTTAGGGATAGGGGATTGAAACATTTTAACGAAAAGGAAAATGCAATGTTTCCTTAGAAAATCTAAAAGTTTGTTTATGGTTCTGTAATCCCTTGTGTTCTGCTAAGAGAGGGTGTACGTAGGGTTCTACTTAAAAATGCTGCATTAACGTAAAAGCTATATAAAGCCCCCAGATGGTTATTTATTTTTGTCAGTCCTAAAGGGGCTTATTAGAGAGGGGGGGGGCTTATTAATAATTCAATGTAAAAATGGTTATAAAAATGCCCTTGTGCTTTTTTTGTTATGAAAATCACCCGTCAAGAGACCCACTCCATGCACACTTTTGCTTGACATCAGGGGCTCAAGAGGGGGGGCTTAAAAGAGAGTGGGGCTTAATAGAGTTTCTACGGCATGTGAAAAATAGGGCCTCGTAAAGGAAAACTTTATTCTTAATCATGCAAAAGCAAAGCTCAAAGCAATTAAAATATATTGATAAGGTAATTACAAATGCAAGACGATAGAAAAGTTTAAACAAGTATATTATTTCTTTGTAAAGACCAGAAATGAATCGCCCAGAAAAACAAAATGCAATGAGATCAGCTTTTTACAGATCTTATCGATATGAGCATCAAACTGATTTTATCGATATGAGCATCTTCATCTATCTGAACACCAAGCGAAGTAAAATTTTCTCTATTTTAATTGCAAATTCTTTGTCAATTTCTAACTCAATTATACTTAGAACAAAATTCTCGAGGAACTTCCAGTCTAAATTGTGGAAATACTTTGCAAGAAGAAAAACAGCACTTCTAAGTGACAGAGTGTATTCACTTCAAAGTATTCCGGATCAGCAATCCTATTGAAAAATTCAAGAATTTCTATTGGCTTTCAGGTATTTCTCAAAATCAGTAATTTGTTTTTTGAATAATAACGTACCCAGTTTTGCATTTAATACATGGCTTCACAACCTCACTGCTTTGTAACATTTCATTAAGCATTTTTTCAGCAACGGGATTACTTTATCGAGCTTTTTTAATCAAAATCAGTCTTTGCAGTTTAAGAACTGATTCAAATCCTTTTGTCAAATCGGTTCAGAACTGGCAGGTATCAAACACATTTAAAGACACAAAAACAGCAATGTTAACTTCCAGACGGCATATGAAATTTAAAGACACTGGTTCATTCATTTATATTTCTCAACCATCTCATAACACATACAATTAACAGTTGCAGGTCCTAATACTGTCATAAATACAATGTCAAATCAATACATGACCACCATAAACTATCTGGAAATCACGTGGGAGTCTCGTTGGCCTAGAACTTTTTTCCAGATAGATAAACGCCAATTTTACATACTATTGGGACGCTGATTATCAAGAGAAACATGACTGGCTTTAAGCACGTATCTTGTGTATTGAAATACTTCAACGGCACCAAAATGTATGGTATAATGCTAGCATGATTGAAAGCAACAGCCTAAGATGGTCTCTATGACAAAAAGCACAGAAAAACCCTGCCACAGAATTGACAGGTATCTGGTAATAAAAACTCTCATACAATTGGCGAGAATTGAGATCAGAAGCTCCTCTGCACATGAAATTGTCAGAGTGTTGGGAAACGCCATGGCTCAACATGGCCTGAGGACGAATTTCATCTCAGTGTCTGAATGAGCAAATGCCATTTTCTGAGTCTATAGTACGACGGTGCATCTCAAAAAATAAAAATGATTCAATTCAGAAAAATGTGTTTTATAAAGCTAGCCATTACTTTTCTGTCTATTTCTTTTTTCTTTAGAATTCTCTGCATCCGGTTCGCTACAAAACTTCTTCTTTAGGCGTTCAAATATTCCCTCATTCGACTCTACATCTTCACTGCTTTTAGGCCCTGAAATTTAAAGTGAAACATATTGAAATCAAATGGCACAATTTGGACATAAAATCATCTTTTTCATCAGTATATTGTCACAATTTGCTTTAAGTTTAGCTTGAAAAAATTTAAGACCTCTTTTGTGCTTGCCTGCTCTATTGCTGTTCAGTTAAAATTAAAAGGAATTCTGGAAAATTCTCTGATCGAAATTCGAAAAAAAGCACAGAGGCTCTCAGCAACGCTTTTTCCTATTTATGAATTGATACCATACATTAAATTTCCTCCCTAAAACATTTTCTATGTCCCTCAACTATTACGCCAGGCAAAAAAGGAATGCTAAGACAGTTTATAAACAATGCAAACAACGACAAGAATTCCGTGGCCAGTCAAAGAGCAGCGTTAAGAATGATACAAATTTGTGAGAACATATAATTTCTGTTAGAATCAACATTTCAGTTTATACATCTGGTGGATTACACAAAAGGCTTTCAAAATTCTACTTTTTTAAAGACTGATAAAAAAGGAAAGAATAAAATACTACAAAAAGTAAATACCATTCTGATACATTAGAAAATGAAAGAGACAACAACAGTCACAGTCACAAAAGACCACAACAAGTGTCACGTCACAACAAGACCATAATGACAACGAACGTTTCATTTTTTGATACTATATATCATACGATAATACTAAAAATAATCCAATTAAAAAAACAGGGATAATATTGAATAATGTTTTTAAGGCTTTGTTTTTCTCTTTTTCGTAATCTTGCCATGGGTGTTCATTTGTTATAAGGTTGACCCAAAAATTGTATGGTTTACTTTTTCTCTTTGGTCGTTCTACAAAGAAAACAGATTATTCACTCCGTAAGCAGCTTGTCCTTTTCTTTTGAAATCTACTTTGAATTTTCACACTGAAGTCTGAAGCCCACAAACTTTCAAGATACACGATGTTAGAAGAGGTAATCTTTCAAACCATTTTATATGACTGAACCGTACAAATCTTTTACTTTCTGATGTTATCGTACCGTAAAAACTTTATGCACTCGCCATACCACAAACTACTCAGGTTAAAAGCATTTTTTCCACAAGGCAACATAAAACTTTACCAGGGACAGTTAGCAGATAAAAAGGGACAGTTAGCACTTAATAAAATATGAATATCAAAATATACTTAAACGATCATAGCATGATTTTTTCTCAAATCCTGATGGTAAAATGTTTGAAAAAACGTTTACGCCCGGCAAGCAATTACCAACTACCAAGCTTTGTCAGCGCACAGTATTAGAACTGAAATCAGCTAAAATGGTTATACGTACTGTTTGGGTCAACTCCATCAACGGTTCCACTGATCTCATCGTCGAGTTCAGCAAAAGCTGTGATAAGTGCCTTTTGCTTTTCGGTTAGATACCTACGTAAACAGAAAAGGACCGATTGAAAATTAGGCAATCCACTTGTTTCACATTGTCGACACCGTCTTGTTAAGAACGATGCCAACGATATTTTTTTCAAAGGTTAGATATGCGACTTTCAATTAGCCTAAACTAACCGCTGAGAGATGCACCTTATGGCGCATTTAAAAGTCTGATAGAGTCACTGTATTTCATTTATTGTAAAAGAGTTGAATATGGGTCATTTTTTAAAAGTAAATTAAACTGAATTATTCGACTATACTGCTTGTTTGGTTTGTTTTGTTAGATTAGATCCTACGTGTTATACTGCTCTGCCATTTGATAATAAGCTTGATCTTTATTTAGACTTTTTGACACTTGCAAATACACAATGTCGTCTTTGCATAAACCCTTTAAGGAAATTCGAATAAAAATGATATTTTTACTTACTTTGGTATATAAATCTTGACATGAATGTAATGATCACCTCTTCCGTAGCCATTTAAACGCGGTATACCTTTACCAACCAGTTTTATTTTTTGATGAGATTGAGTTCCTTTTGGCAGCTGAAAAAGATACTCATAGTTGAAAACGGCCCTTTACAGAGGCGAACCTCTATTTGGAGGACAGTTCTGCTTAAGTGAAAGTAAATGTGCGATTCAAGTTTCAATAATATGTTGGATTAGCTATCCATATTTTATTGATTTTCCTTAAGAATAGTTGCAACTTTAATCCATATTTCAGAGTTTCTGAAAAAAGAGTCATATCAAAGTCATCTTTGTCAAGTACGATTCGTAATAGATGGTGTTTTGTGATTTGATAGTTTACAAAGCTGATTTCAACATCATAACATCAGATCAGTAATGCTCATGATCATAATCAACTCCGCTGGTAGAAAAAGGTTTTCAAACAATTTAAAACAACACCCTTAGCTTTTGATTGCTTTTTTATATCTGAACAGCTTTAAATTGTTATGGAAGATAGATGTTTAGATTTATGACTTGGAAGCTATGTAAAATACTGCAACAGTCCAGACCAACCAGCTTTCTATATAAGTAGGGCAGCATTGTCAAAGGTTTTCTTAGTAGCAAAGAAAGACTGGGGTGACGAACATACAAAACCAAATCGACTTCCAAACTTTTGTTTTATTATTGCCCTTGTGTTGGAGGGTTGGACTTGTGTTGCAATAAAAATACTCAAAGGAATAATTGATTAAGGGGAAAGAGGTGGTAAAGAAAATATCATAGTTATGGCATCACTAATGCTGTATAGCTAAAAAGAAAGGTATGTTATATTACCTTAATTTCCATGTCACCTTGAAGTCCAGGGATCTTCATGGTTCCGCCAAGAATGGCCTACAGAAAACACAGTTATAGCAACAAGGTTCACAGAATCTATTTGACAAGATCATATGGGAAGTGCCCATGATCCAGTATTAGCTTCAAATAATAAAGTTTAAATGATCATAACTTCTGTCTTACAAGAGTGCCAATATCGCAAAAATAAGCCATTATAAATAATGATAGTATATAGAAAATGCTTTTAACAGAAAAACATTTCAATTGTCACAAAATTCAACCTGTCGAAACGTTATCTTGGGAAGATAATATTTATAAATGCATGAAAAAGAATACAAAATTATCTTTAAAAGGGAAACTTTCTGTAATTTTCTGTAATCATACGCAAATGTGCGCACATGAAAAAGAAAGGCGTCCGTTTAAATAGTTAAATAATAAAAGCTTAAGAACTGCTTGAAGTTTCAATATTGGTCTTTATTAGTTCAAGCTTAGCAAACCCACACTTGATTTTGAACAATATACAATTTACAAAAACCAAATAGACAGCTAGAAAAAACATTTTATCGGAGGGGGGCGGGTGGTTGATTGAAATAAAAAGGAGTATAGACCGTGAAGTTTGCTTAGAAAACCGCAGACGTTTGTTCTGGTGTTTACAGTGCCAAAAGCTACGTAACAACTTGTTACCTGCGCAAAGTTGACTGAAATTGTTGAGTGGACATCTGAACCATCTCGTTCGAAAATTTTACTAGGTGTTACCTGCAAAGCAGAAATGAGCCTCAAACAAAAATTCATTGAATTTGAATTTCCGCGTTATTCTACCTCCTAGTTGCTGTTTATTGCAACGATACCTTGCAAGAAGGAAATAAGTTTTAATGAGTACATATCTTTATTTGGTTAAAGTGGTGTTAGTTTCGAATAATAACGATCAATGTAAGTAAATTGTAACAGGAAAATTTTTTTAAATAAATAAATAAATAACGACGTTTCGAGCATAGCCCGTTATCAAGTAAAATAGAAAAGCAATGATAAAACTAAAAAACGTTAATGGAATATGGAATTGGACACATGCAATAGAATGACAGATATAATAGCATTGAAAAGAAATATATAGAAAGAGCTAAAAATTATTGTATTTATATACATGCATATACAAATATATGTATATGTATATATATATGCATACTAATATGAAGAAAAGAAAAAACAAATAAAAAGGAGGGGGGGGGGGTTTATTGAAGATACGTAAACTGTTTATTAAGTCCATAAGGAAACAAAGTTTCATGTTTAAAAATGATTCGTTTTTCCAATGACTTTCTCTTTGCACTGTTCGTTGGGGCAAACAAGAAGCCAAGAACTGTGATAGATTTGTATATGAATGTATATATATATAATTTTTAACTCTTTCCATATATTTCTTTTTCATGCTCTTATATGCGTCATTCTATTCCATTTGTCGAATTCCATATTCCTTTAACGTTTAGTTCTATCGTCGCTTTTCTATTTTATTTGATAACGGGCAATGCTCGAAACGTAGTTATTTATCTAAAAAAATTTTCCTGGTACAATTTACTTACATTGATCGTTATAATAGCATCATATTGTTCCGCATGCAACCTAGTACATTTAGTTTGGCATAGATAAGAATTGTTGTCTATTCCATGTGATAAACAAAGCGAAACAGGAATGGAAGCAGCTAATGTCGTTGAATAAAATAAAGCGGAGAATGGAGCTAATGAAACTATCAAATATCCATCATTTGAGAGAGATCTGACAATGTTTGTTCATCAAAGGAATTAAAAATATTTCTAACCGTAGAACATGATCAGCCAAAGCTAAGATATAGCAAAAAAGCAATGCACCTTATCTCTGTAATTATCAAATAACACAGTGAGAAATGTCTTACTTTAAAAGTGACATATAAATCTCCATTCGTTGTAGGAACTTTGATTACCAAACCATCTTCAACGCCTGTAACGAAACGATATTACAAAAGGTGACAAAGTGAGGGTGTAAAGCAAAAAAAAGATAAGAATTCTTTCACATGCAATAAAGTTTTCTGAAATATACGGGTCAAATCCAAATGATATAAAAATAGGAGGATAAGAAAAAATTTGAAAAAATGGATCAAAACTTTACCTAAGAATAAAACCTTTATCTAAAGTAAAGATAGGACACTATTGGTAATCAAAAATATATTATAACAACAAATACTATTTATTTTAAGAATAGTTAGTTGGTATGATAAATTTTACTTTTGTTGGTCTAAGAAAACTAGGGAGAAGTGTATGTGAATCACTTATTCGAAGTTTCTTTAGATGGAAAACATTATGACATTATAATGAACATGTACATGTTGATTCATAAACTGTATCTTCGTTAGTATTTCAAATGGATGCTTTGTTCGGTGACAAACAATTTTGCTGTTAGAAATTGGGTTTTGTGTGCCTTTGCCAGTCTGCACGACGAGAAGAAAATGAACAGTGCACTGGCAGTTGACTATTTTAACCAGTGGTATCTTCTTTTCAGAATTACTGAGTATACTGAACGGCGCATTCAGTAAAGTTTGGTCACTTCATTTCAAACACAAACCTGCTGGCACTGGGACGGTTATGGTTCTCGTTTCCATCACTGTTCCAGCTCCTTTGCATTTGGTACAAGGATTTTTAATCACGTGACCGTGTCCACCACATTTTCGACAAGTCGTTCGCATGTGAAAAAATCCAGTTGAGAGCTTCTCCTGTCATGGAAATTACCAAATAATAAAACAACTTTAATAAATAAATTACACGACATTGTTATCGAATCAGAGATTGGATGCTCATCAAGCAAGTACGAAAAGTTCTGATCGCTAAGGCCCCTTCGGTTTTTTAAGGTACCACATTAAAAACGTTATTTTCTAACAAAAGAAATGCTCTGTCATGGATTCATGATACAAATTGAGATAAACCGAGCATACCTCCCCGGTACCATTGCATTGTTGACATTTAACATAGGTAGAGCCAGGCTCAGCACGCTTGCCATTGCACCGTGAGCAGGTTGTCTCCATTCTTATTTTAACGTCTTTATTTACCCCGTTGACTGCTTCGGCAAAAGATAAATTCAGCACGTAGTTCTGCAGGAAGAAAAAATCATTCGAGAAATAAGCAACAAAAAAATTAAAGAGATTAAATAAATTTGGGAAGTTGCTCGAGGTTACCCTGTGTTTTGAACAAAAAAATTTTAACTGTTATTTGGAAAAGCAAAGGGTCTCTCTCATGGAACTTATGGATGTTCTTGTGAAGAGATAAAGCCAGGGAATCAAAGTTGTTTTGAAGGTTTTCATCAACCGAAAAGGACATGAAAATTATTGACTGGAGGATGCGTGGAGTTTCTGCTCAGTAATATATTAATACAAGATGCTTAAGACTTTCTTTGGTCTTCTTTTTTAACGATGGAAAAATATCATCATTGCGCTAACAAAATATTATACAAAAATGTCATGGTTAATGTGAAGATAGAACAAGATAGAAACACAACATTAAGGGATCAGTGAGAATTACATATAAAAGGGATATATTGTTTGCTATTCGATTGTTACATTTTCCCAGAGTGCTATTGAGGAATGATCGTGTAGCTTGTTGGTTGTTATTCTCTTGAAATCTGCTCACCGTTCGTTGTTTGTTTGTTTCTTTGTTTGTTGGTTTGATATTACCATTTAATGCTTAATTCGTTTGATACTGTCCTTCTGTGCGGTATTTGAGAATGGATAGGAAATTTTGGATGTATGTCCGAACTCCAATATATTTCGATGGAAGATAACTTTGTAGAATCAAGCTGATATAGATCTTTATTAAAGAATAACTGTACGAGACCCTCTAACAAATAAAAGAATTGATTCTTCAGCAAGACTGTGTTTTAAGTAAGTTCACTCGTAAGAAGCTTACTGTGGCTATTCTCTCATTCTCCGCTTTTTAATCCGGTAAGCAATACAGAAAAAACACCTACCTGTGTAGCGCGGGCGTTTTCAAAACCAAACCCGCCAGCTCCACCTTGACCAAACTGACCAAAAAAACTTTTAAATATATCATCTGCATTCATGTTACCGAAAGGACTTTGACCTCCAAATGGATTCTGTCCTCCGAAAGGATCTTGGCCTCCAAATCCACCTTAAAAACAGGAAATTCAAAGTAGCCATTTTTTCTAATGTTAAATACATATACTATGTGGCTTGCAGATATTGATAAAAGATAACAATATTTTCGAAATATCAGATATATTTGGCAATCAGTAACTGCTTTAATTACCAATAACAATCGACTACTTCAAATGAGGTAGCTGTACTCTTTAAAGTCTTTATACTCCAAAAACCTACATCAAATATCACAAAGAACCTAGTGAGCACGTTTTATTTTCCCAAGTATTATCATCTGCTAATGCGATGCCAATTCCAGAAGCTGTGGTTTTATTATCTTCAACACAATGAAAGAGGTGAACGAGAACCTCTTGTAAGACCTCTTTTAACACGTAATCATCTATGTGCCAGAAACTCCATGTCCTTCAACAAGAGTTAGTAAGACCAAACGCAATGAGATAAATCTATACCAGTTTTCCAAGTAAATAACAATTTCATTCTCAAAATTTTTGTTTCTCTATCATAAACTAGCCTGAATTCATGGCATACCGTAAAAGCTCTATTTAGCCCCATTCTCTTTTAATCCTCCTTCTCTGTAAAGCCCCTCGTTTCAAGCAAAAATTTAAAATAAGCCCCTGTCTATCAAGACCCTCCTTAGCTTCTGATGTCAAACAAAGAAAACATACGCAAAGAGTGGGTCTCTGGACGGGTGTGATGATGATAAGATTATGTGCATTAAATACAGCCCATATAAAGATTTCCTTGTGCGCCTTAGAAGTCTAGAGGATATACTGATGCTGTTGCTTTTGAGGAAATCCCAGGGGACGTAATTAGTTCAGACGATGTCCCCGGATTATCAATTGATCCTGGTAATGCTGATAAAGATGAGGACATAATAACTGATTAATTTTTATAAACTTCCGAACTGCTAACAAAGGTTTTTGAGAACATTTTTATGACATTTTTATAACAAAAAAACTTTTTACTTTGAATTATTGATAAGGCCCCTCTCTAACAAGCCCCATTCTCTTTTAAGCCGGCAATCTATGACTGAAAGAATAAATAAGCTTAGTAAGCCCCCCCCCTGGGGCTTAATAGAGTATTTACGATTGATTTTTTTACAATCAAGCAATACAGGTAGAAGGAAGACCTTTATATGTTTCAGTATGTTCTATCATCTCCTTTGACAAAGAAATAATACTATTATGTTTGCTTAAGTTTTGGGTGATCCAAACATGATAAAGCTCAAGGAGGCTAAAGCTTCTGAGTAGGAAAGCACAATGACATAGAAGTGTTTATCAACTACCCTTTCCAATTACTAACCCACATTTGCAATTTAGAAAAACCCCTGACAGAATTAAGATTTTGTTAAGAAGGTCATTGACAGCTTTATACCAAAAGTGATAAAATCTTTTTTTGGATGGCAGGGGGTAAATGCAGATGCAGCAACTCTAGAAATGTGATTATTTGTGAGCTTCATAAAGCAACTATAAAGCAAATATAAGACAACTTTTACTAATGAGATCGTTAAGAGAAAACAAGAAAATGACAAAACTTACCAGCACCAGGATCTGCTGTTCCAAATTGGTCATATGTAGCTCTTTTTTGGTCATCACTTAAAATCTACAAGTACACAGACATTGGATGAACCCGCAAGTAATGCGACTGACAAAACAACGTTTAAACAGAATTAGCAAATAACTTGGACTTAAAATAGCCTAATTTACCTCATATGCTTGCTGAATTTCTTGGAACTTTGATTCTGCTTCTTTGCCTTTGTTTGTATCTGGGTGATATTTCTTCGCAAGCTAAAAGAAAAATCAAGGGTTGAAATAGCGATTGGCTTAAATAGTGGTGGATGCATAGATTGAATAGGAACCTATGTGCCTCACATGCAAAGTCACCATTATATAAGTAACATTTGGCAATGTGGTTTTATTCAACAGAACTGACAACCTTTAATGGGAACATGGTATATTAAGGGTGAGGATATAAAGCAGCTTGGTACCACACTCAGTCTCACTTTAATTGTAATCCAAAACCTGAAAAGTACTGGATAAATGTAGCTTTTAAGAAGAAAGAAAGAAAGAAAGAAAGAAAGAAAGAAAGAAAGAAAGAAAGAAAGAAAGAAAGAAAGAAAGAAAGAATGTGACACTGAACCTATAATCTGAGTTTATTAGATAAAGCAAATTCAATACAGCATTCTATGAATTAAAATTTCTAAGAAATGTTAAATTACCTCATAGTAAGCAGCCTTTATATCTTTTTGTGTTGCATTTTTTGGTACTCCAAGAACATCATAGTAACTTTTTTTACTATTGACAGCTTCAACATAAAAATACAAAATGTCATTAATTTCATTCTAGTCGAAAAGTACACAGTCTTTTCATCACTTTATTTGCAACCAACCTCAAGAAACTTTTGGCATTTTTTTAAAAACAAAATATTTTGCAACAACCTAATTCTAAATGACAATCACTATTTCCCCAGTAGTATTGTGGTTACCAGGCAGTGTAGTAAGAAATATATTATTTCCTTGTTATAATGTGATATTTTGACATTGAGCATCTTTGCTTTGATCATTCTATTCAAAATCAGCTATTCTAGCCTTGATAAAGTTTTTACTTAGATTATGAATTAAACAAAAGTTATCATAATTAAAACTTAGAAATAAACTCACAAAATAAACTATATGGCAGTATCATCTTGAAAATGCAAACCTCTGAAATTATCACTTGGACTTTCATTGATTAATTCAAGTAGTTCCAGTGACAACATATTGATTCCATAAAATGTGTATTAAAAAAACATGGATGGCATAGTACACCAAAACTGACAAAAAACCAGCTGTTACCTGAAGTTTGGAATGAAGAGGCCAATATTTGGTTCAGAGGATAAATCTTTTGAAGGAGAAACCGTGAACTCAAAAATACACCTGTGGAAGAATTTAAAGGCTTTCAAATAAGAATAATTATCGAAACATAAAAATCAATTCCTCATAACTGTCTTTATCTCAAAAAAAGTTGATATGGTAACAAGTTGATATGTATTAGTCAGATCAACAAGTATTTCAAGACTGAATTTTGCAAGTTCAGAAATCTATAAAAACATAACTTTTATTTTTCTTTTATTAGCTTACATGAAAGAATAACAGTGCCAAAAATGGGCTCATAATGGTCATCCCTTTCCAAAACATTAAAATTCTGAAACAGGTGACCAGGATTTTAAAAAGACTCTGATCCAACTTATAAGAGAGGTGATAATTTATCTTCATATCTCCTACTGTTTGTAAGTAAGGTAGTTGTTCTTGAGGCTCAGTGACAACAAGAGAAATGTTTATTTATCTTCATATCTCCTACTGTTTGTAAGTAAGGTAGTTGTTCTTGAGGCTCAGTGACAACAAGTCTCTATAAATTTCAAGAACATTTCTGAAGATCAGCATAAAATAAAAGATACATAGCATTTTTCAGCAGCCCTGCTATCTTCTTTGCCATTTTAATTCCTTTTAATCTCTCACTCAACAGGTTTAAAGTTATAACCTGGGACTCCTATGATGATTTCATTTCATTTTTCTGAATATTTCATTGTTCCTTGGTTAGACCTTAACATTATTCCATTTTTCTGTTTCCTTTTTGTCCACCTGCTATCATATACAACATCAAAACTTTGTTAGTATTTGCAACAAGGGACTTAACTGGAAGTTGCCTTATTGCTATCAATAACAGTTTTGGATCCTACCTTGATGCAACCCCTTCGTTTTTTATTTCAGTTGCTACTTTTATCATAGTTTAGTATATTTTAATTTACTTTGAGATGGCTTTCAATGAACTTTTGATATCGGCATTTCCATTCCCTAGTCTCTTTCCAGATCTGTGTGCAATGTATGCACCTCTGCTGTTAACTATTAAATTGTTTTCCAAAATTGAAGCCCCTTAATTTTGATTTTTTTCGTAAATAAATCTAGATTTTCATTACAATCTATCACTGGTCATCATTAAACTATGTCACTGGCCATTTTCATTGTTGTTTTTCCCTTCCTTGCATTTCATTTAACTTCCAATCATGAAACCAAAATTATATACTGCTGTGAAAAATTTGTCCATCCTTTCATGAAGCAGATGATCTATTTTCTGGATGATATTGATGATAGTTCAATTTTTCACCTAGATTTCAGCAACCCCAGCAAAATTAAAGGGTAAATTTTGCATTATTCAACTATAAAAACCTTTTCAACAGCTGGGGCAAACAGATTCCTGATCACCTCTGAACTTGTGTTTTCACATCTGCTGCCATATAATGAATCGTTGCTCCACTAGTGGATACAATTGTGCAGATTCTGTACCTCAAACATTTTACGTTTGAAATTCTTGTAGATAAGACAATCCCTTAAATTTTACTAAAATAACTGTTGCAATTGACAGCTGTCCTCTATATATTCTAGATTAAAAGTTTGTGATAAAAGGTTTTCTCACTCTTCCAAAACCCCAGCTCTTCACCGATTAACCCAAAAACGAATATATGGCTTTGTTCGTGATTATAAGGGGGCAGGGAATTTTCATAGCTAGGCGACATTGAAAACTGACAGAGCGGACGGGGAAATAAGGGTGGTGGTGGTGGTCGGTCAAAACTTAATTAGTTGCTACCCCCTTCTTATAACAGACGATGGTTTTGCAAAACTTAATCAAATTAAAATTTTCTAACATTGATATTGTGCACGATTGTTACCTTTATTATTTCCTGATGAAATTGTTTGATTACCATATTTTGGCCTTGCAGATGCGACGCCACACAACGCCCGTTGTATCCTGACCAGCTTTCTGGCCTTTTTTGTGCCGACGCCAAAACGTCTCTGTAGATCAAATACACAGAACCTTGTCAAACATGCCATTCTGATGATTTGTACTACAACAAATTCCTTTCAACCTTACCGCTACACACTTTGATTACTATTTTAGGCTGCACATGGTCGCCCCGAGCAGAAGTTTAGGCCCTCGCAAAAGAGTTGAGGATGATGAAACAGCCTCACTCTGCTCATCATGTGTACGAGGTAGGCCCATTGTTCACAATATTTTTACCTCATTGATTGTTCATAGTGCCGTAAGGACAAATGGACAGCAATGTCGTCACCCTGAGAGGTTTTAAGCGTGACATGAACTTCTGAATAGGAACTATATAATATAACAAAGTGTATATGCATAGCATATATATATAAGTATGAAAAAAAAAAATACTAAAAATACATAAAGAGTGCAACAAAGAGTAATTTCATTATCTAGAATAACAGCAAACATTGATAAGATCAGATACAAATCAATGTTACATTTTGTCCCTCTTTCTTTTTATTTGTCAAGTACCTCAATCTTTACCTTTGCGGCATTTCCCTAGAGAGGAATTTGGCAAAGCAGCTTCTGAGATATCACATTTTTCAACAAACCCACCTGCACCGGAAAATGTTGGCATTGAAGTATGGCAAACGTTTCATTCAATTTCGGGCCGAATTTTACAGCACCTCTAATCGTCGAAATGGTTGCAAAGAGAAAGGGAAAATTGTTATAAACAAATAAAAAATAATGTTTTTATTACTTTTTTATTGTTCATTAGCAATAGTTAATTAAAAAGAACGACACGATACTGTTTGTTATTAAATTGATCTTAACCTTTTTGCATACAAGACTTTCTAAGATAAAATTACGCAAAGTTAATCTTTTAAGAGTAATGCATTTTCATTCTGGTCCTTATGACGCAGTTTTCTGTTATGTTGATGAATAAGCTCTCTTTGGCCTTTTTTCATTTAGAAATGATCCTTGTAGTGTATTTCATTTTCATTACAGTTCACTTTTGTAGCGGGGATGCATATAAGTAAATAGATTCGCTTGTATCCGCTTCCTTTACTTTCTTGTTGCCTTCTCAGTTAGTGCTTGAACTTCAGTGTTTATCTTGAAGTAGTTAATTGCAACTACGAAGAACGATAACAAGATTGATTCCTAGAATCACACTATCTCTCTGCATTCACCCAATGAAGGATACCTGCTGAGACTGTTGCAGTTCAAGGGCCTCTCTTTCTTTCATAGTTATCCTGTTTCTCTTTGTATTCCCTGCCACATCTTCCAACTGGTCTGTTACACAGTGTACATGACCGTTTTCCTCTTCCATGGCGGCATCTAAACATTCCAGCACTGAAATTACAAGAGTCATCTACAGCTGGTTTAACAATGATACGTCTTATATTTTTTGTTTTGTCAGTAGTTTCGGTCAATGACTCAGTTGAGTGACCTTCTATGAAGCTACTCTCGTCATACCATTCGTCACCTGATTCCTCGTCCTGGTCATATACCACATGCTCAAGGTCATTCTCAGAAAGCAAAAATACATTGTTTGGAAGAAGGGAGTTCGCTTCGTCCTCGGTGTCTTTGACATTAGTTTTTCGTCTCGGGGAATTTTCGTCACTAAAAAATAAAAACAGATCCACTCAAGAACAATATATTTATTTGAGATATTTGCATTTTACAGGATTCGTACAGGAAGCAAGTGGGGAGTCAAATCAAATGCAAGTAAGCAAAACATTTTAAGTCGTATTTTGCCATACATCTGATATTCCAAAGGTATCAGCAGGCACCAGGAGCCAGGGGGTTGTATCTTTTTCACGGAAAAATAATGTAGCCTCAAAGACCATGGTGGCAAACTACATTAAATTTTGCAAACTTGTCTAGAGAAACTTGTCTTGTCTAGAGGCGTCATTCCTCTCGCTTCTCCCATTCTCGTGTCTCAAGGTTTGATATTTCTGTGTTTCAGTAGGTACTTTTGAGTAAAGAAATCTTTTCGTTTCTTTAGTTTTACTAATGTCAGCACCTATATCGAAGCTGACGGAAAATGCAGAGCACGGCTCATTTTTCCACTTTGCTTGCGAGAGAAAATCTTCACTCGTGCTTTGCTTACTACATTCTTCATTAAGCTTTAACTCTGCTGATTTATGGTGGCTTGAAGCCGTTCCCACTTGAATAACCTCCTTCTCCGCTGAAATGCATCTGTTGTCTTTGTAACCGATCTAAAAAGTGAAATTAAACAATGAATCGTGTAAACAGGACAGTGAGCACTTATCTCAACGTAATCAGCTGATTTCATTTTATTCGATTGAAGTATTTTAAAGCAAAAAAAGATTAAATAGTAGATGGTTTACCTTTGAGTCTTCTTCTGTTGACCGAATTTCTTCAAATTCGCTAGTGTTAGATTCTCGTCCCACACTCCATTTTCTTCCCATAGCTTGCTCTCTTTGATGCGGAGGCACAAAATGTGCATTGTTCTTCTTTTTAATACATATATCGGCCAATGTTTTGCGATGTCTGCTTCTAGCAAAAGCTTTTCCTGTCAAAAAAATTTTACTCCTTGCAATTTCCTTCTTTTCTGGTAACTTATCGCCTGTTTGCAATGGTGGTACTAATACACCTCTTTCTGAATTTCCTCTAGTGGTACCCGTAGCTTCTTTGCACGAATTCTCAGAAATGCACCACGATAACAAATTACCCATATTCACGTGTTTTATACAAAAAGCTTTAGCTATTTTGTTTCTCTTCTTAATATTGACTGTTCTCCTCTTTCATCAATCACAATCTGAATTAAACTTCTTTCTTCATTCGGTTTTATGAAATCGAGATTATACGTCATATTGATCAAACTTTCGTTAGGACGTCAAATTGAATCTTACGAAAACTTTGTGTGCTGAGAAACGTTTGATCCTAACTTTGCATGATATACACGATGAAACGAATGTGATATTGTCAACATCCAAACGCTTTTAGTGCCACATAGCAAGTTGACACGATTTCTCAATACAGTGTTTAATCAAAGTATAGTAATATTGCTAAGAAATATAAAAAAAGACAAGTGATCAATAATTCAAGCAGATAATGGTAAATGGCGCTTATATTGCGAAAAATACAAAGCAATTGCGACTTCACGGTGTTCTCGGCATGAAAACAAACTTTTCCGGAACAGAAACCCTGATTCCCTTTCATGTATATTACAATTCAATTGGACGTTCTTTTATATCCTTGTGTAAATTTATATACGTAAGAAAACGTAAGTAAGAAAGTAAGAAAAACTATAAAAACTATCATTTAAGTCATCTACTGTCTGTCACCCAAAGGGCAATATTAGAGGCTTTTAAAATCAATTAGGCAGAGGCTACGATAATCATAAAATAATTAATAAATGAAAAAAATGATAACAGGTAATTTATTTTATCATTCTACACATGCCCAGTTTGAGCAAAAAAAATGAAAAGAGACAGTTCTCAAGGAATGCTCCCTTTAAATTGCTGTCCCCACCTCAAATCTTTACACAATTTCTTTGTAAGTTTACACAGACCTCTAAGTTTGTAATGTGCATATATCAATATTGACTATATAAGTGAAATTTGTGCTTGCAAAATGATATTTATATATTCATTTCACACTTTTCGATCTGAAATCTTCAGGAAAAAAAACATTTTGATTCGCTAAAAAACTAAGAGAGATATGGAACATTGCGCAAATTAATTTTCTATTCCCTGACAGAAGTTACAATTACAGTTACAGTAGAGGAAACATTACTCCCTCAGAAAAGCATGCCATAGACATCAGCAAGTCAGTTGGGAGACACTTGGTGAGCAACTATTGCAGGTGTACTACAAGGATTAGTCCTTGGACCTCTTCTAGTTTATATTTATATCAATGATTTATTTTTGACGGAAACGGATAATGCAAGATGCAACTTTGCTGATGATGCAACAATTTTTGCAGCTGACTGTCAATTAGATAAAGTTCTAGAACGGCTAGAAACTGATGCTGTTGCTGTTTTTTCAAAGTGGTTTCCTTAAAACATGTAAAATTGAATGAAGGAGAGCGTCAACTACTAACCTTTGGGACAAACCAAGAAGATATTAAGATCAAAAGTGGGGAGGCGATTGTTGAAAAAAGCTCTGAAGAAAATTGTTGAAGGTGATCATAGACAAAGATCACACGTGAAACATCTGCAAAAGAGACATCCAGTATTTCCGTTTATGGGACCCGATAAACTGCGTCTTCTAATGAACAGCTTCATAAAGACTCAGTTAAAGGCAATCTGTCTCGTTGTGGATTGGTTAACGAGAACAATAGCTAGAACAATAGCCTAAACACAATTCCAGCGCTCCGCCATATTTTTTACAATGCGATAAATTAAAGGGGGACTGGAAAAAATAAAAAATATCTTTGTTCTTATAATCAATCAACGTCGTAACAGATTGCCTTTAGGCTACTGCCCTCTAATCCTGATGTTCCATGACATTTGGTCTAAATGCAAAACTGAGTAAAATCCAAGAAACAGCACTCAGAATTGTTTATATTAAAGACAGTCAAGCTGAATACAAAACTCCATGTGTAAAGTGATTTGACATCCATATCCATAGTGAATTTAAAATGATTATGATTTCAGTTCAAAAGCAGAGGTAATTTCTTCTTCTTCTAAAAAAGACAACTATCCTGTCCACATTACCTACAATCACTGCCAAAAGTCTTGGAACACTAACGTAGGTTTACAAAGGCAAATTCAGTCACCCCTCTCTTCTCCTAGGAGCAATGTTGATTCACTATAGAAAAAAGAAAGGGGTTGTGGAGTATGTTTTTCTTAGGGCTTGTTCGATATTTTTCTTTACTTTAAACATTGTTTTGGGGGGAAACTGGGACGGAAGTAATAGTATTCAGAGAAAACAAATGAAAAATAGAAAAGCACGGCGCAAAGTGTTGGGTGTTCCAAGTAACTTTAGCAGTGATTGTAGGAAGCATTTAATAAAGAAAAGCAAATTTCACAAGATGATGCCCTTTAAAATCCAACAAAAAAAACAACAACAACTGCATTCCTTTCACCTTGGCTTTTCAATCCTCTTAACAACAACACAAAAAATATTTGTAGCAATCTTTACATTCTTACCAACGACACAAAAACAAACAACATCTTCAATGCACCACCACTATTGGCTTTCCACAGAGACAAGAATTTG